ATTTTTCTATATATTGTTATATACACTTCATTTGCTTGTTTTGACTAATTTAAACATTAAATTAAAATCCTATATAAATTATAAACATCTTACAACAGCTAGAGATGCTGCAGCTTATATACCATGTTTCATATTCAACAAATTAGTGTTCCATTGGTGCAGATCAGTGTTCCAAAAGAATCAGTCTATTACAGTTAACTTTCCTTTCTTCCAGGAAAAAATACAGTGGCTAAATTTGTAATCAATTAGAAAGCAGGGAACAGAAGACATGCATTGTTACATATACTTAAGTGTACTGTAGTTTTCTAAATGTGACACATTCTGATGCCCATTCCAATCCACATCTTGTCAACACTTTCTGTGCATCAGTCTGCATAACCTTTTTTCCCGGGCCGGGGGGGGGGGGGGGAATGTGTTGGCCTTGTACAGAATATGAAATAACATGATTTCTGCAGCTGAAAGCAAAGGGACAAGTTTAGAATACTGAAAACAGTAACTGAAAAACAGGTAATTTCAGCTACTCACTAACCTCTACCATTTCTGAGGCTCAGGAGCAACTCCTTGCTCATTAAAATGCACACTGAAAATGTTCAATCTTGCAACTATCTCCAGTCAATTAGTAGAGGTCACAGTACAGATTTTCCACATAGAAAAAGATATGGAGCTAATAAAGCCAGCCTGACCACAGTGTAGGCTACAGGAGTAATATTGCAGGGATTTTTTCTCTTAGGGAAAGTCCAGTCTTGGTATCATTGCTGTCCTTTCCATAGTACAAAGTGTGTGTGTACATGGACCAAAAGACAATATAATAGGTGCAATATGTAGGGGTTGATGTGACATGCAGTAGCTGCTACTTCTCTAATCTAATCATGGACAACACCACAAAATTCATAGATCTCTGGCACTAAGCAAAAATGTATCTCTCAGGCAAGAATTTGATTCAAAGCTGATACTTCGTATAGTGCAAAAATGTATCTAAAGCATAGATTACTCTAATGTTTACATGATACAAAGAAACTCTGTGATAGATCCGCCTTAGGGTCAAGACAAGTTCAGAAATTACTTCAGGGTATAGGACAAGAAGAAACGTCCCAGAAAGAAAGGAAGCACTTCCATCAAATGAGCAGCATCAAACACATCACATACCTAAGGCTACATATTACTGCTGTGTCATAAAAACATGGATCCTAAACTTTCTTACACCGGATGTCAACAAACCACCATCAGAGCATGTCTGCACCTATGAAGAACAAGACTGAAGGCTTCACATGGCGGCATCATACTGCAAAAGCATATGAGAGGTACAGCTCCTCATAAGCCACCTGGTGTTCTACATGGAAAGCTCCCATTCAAACTACAATCTAATTAAAGATCTAATCTTTGACCACAGACTGCATCACAACAACCATGGTCCCTGTATTCAGCAGTGCTGTCATGATACAACAACGGGAATCAGAGGTATGCACTCTCTATATTTTACAAGGGATGCAACTCAAATCACCTATCCACAGCTTCGAAGCTTCATGGTTGTGCAGGGACATGTAGTTAGTTGTTTTTTTTGTGCCTTCATGTTGTTTCCTATTTCTAGCAAACCTCAGGCTAACCAATCACAGGGCCTTCTTGGCAAGTTCTGTTCCGAACAATAGTTCCCAACCAGTGGTCCATAATAACAAAAATATGGTCCGTGGCTTCACCATTACTACATCGTTGTCTTGAAACCACACAGCAATGAGAGCGACTGGTCTTGCGAAACCCTCTTATAGTACCGAGGCAGGAGGGATGTCGGGAGGGGAGAGGCTGACTACCCACAAAAGATTACTACTACCATTATTAAATATGGTTTTTTGTGGGTGAGCAGATAGTGACTACTAGGTGGCATATGTTCTGTATCAAAAACTAGAGCTGATGTGGTCTATCCAGTGCAATTTTCTGAATCAGCACCCCAAATTACCAATCTGAATCTAAAGTTGACCAAACACTGACTCATAACTCTTTTGGTGCTAATGTTGGAGAGTGGACCCTGGTCAAAGAGGTCCCTGGTCAAAAAAGGTTGGGAATCACTGGTTCAGAAGGAAGGATGGATTGCCTTTCCTTTCCTCTGTAACCCCACCCCCAAACACACACACACTTTAAAAAATCCAACTACAGGGATTGCACCATGTAAAAAAATAGAAAAATAATTTTTCTGTTTAATTGTGCACTACTTACTTTGAAAGTAGTTGTTATACTCCAGAAACTTTGTTTTTGTGGCTGCTACAAACTATGTCAAATTGGTTCAGATTCTATGAGCTATTCATTGAAAAATTATAACATAGAACCAATTAGGAAACAATATTTACAACCCAGGAACAAAAGCCATGTTACATAATGCGATCCGCTGCAGTTTCCCCGACAGTGGTGCTTTCCAAATGTTCTGAGCTACAACTAACTCTGCAGGAGATTGAGGAAAGATGTTCTCCACATTAGGAGGAACCTCCTGACTGTGAGAACTGTTCAACAGTGGAACTCTCTGCACCAGAGTGTGGTGGAGGCCCCTTCTTTGGAGGCTTTGAAACAGAGGATAGATGGCCATCTGTTGAATGTGATTTTCCTGCTTCTTGGCAGGGGGTTGGACTGGATGGCCAACAAGGTCTCTTCCAACTCTATGATTGTATTGTCGAAGACTTCTATGGCTGGAATCACTGGGTTGTTGTAGGTTTTTTGGGCTATATGACCATGTTCTAGAAGCATTCTCTCCTGACGTTTCACTTGCATCTATGGCAGGCATCCTTAGAGGTGCAGGCGAAACATCAGGAGAGAATGCTTCTAGAACATGGCCATATAGACCAAAAAACTTACAACAACCCAACTCTATGATTCTATGTTATCTCCTTCTGCCTGTGAGATACATTGAAAGGGATGGCACAAATGTCCACAGGCAGCTCTCCAAAAGGGAGGACCTGCAGAGAGCGGGGTGTTCTCATCCTTTGCTTTTGAGGACATCTCTATTGCATGCCTTCTTTGGAGGCTTTGAAACAGAGGCTGGATGGCCATCTATTGAATGTGATTTTCCTGCTTCTTGGCAGGGGGTTAGACTGGATGGCCAACAAAGTCTCTTCCAACTCTATGATATCCCATTCTGCCTGTGAGATGCATGGAAAGGGATGACACAAATGTCCATGGGCAGTTCTCCAAAAGGGAGGACCTGCAGAGAGTGGGCTGTTCCCATCCTTTGCTTTTGAGGACATCTCTATTTCATCCTCCTGAGAATTACAGCACCTTTGACACCACTTTAGCTGCCTATGGAGTATTGGAGTGTGCAGTTCACTGCAGTAGAGCTCTCTTGATGGAGGAGCCTAAATGTCTCACAAACTTATGAATGAAGGTGGTTTGTTGCCACTTTAAAGACCATGGCTCAATGTTTATGGAATGGTGGAAGTTATAGTTTTAAGATATCTTTATAGCAGGTATGGGTAAACTTTGGCCAGTGTGGTCCATGCCTTGGTTACATCTAGATTGGACTATTGCAATGCGCTCTACATGGGGCTGCCCTTGAAGACAGCCTGGAAGCTCCAAGTGGTACAATGGGCGGCATCCAGGCTCCTTACTGGAGCAAACTATAGGGAGCATACAATGCCCCCTTTTAAAACAGCTTCACTGGCTACCGATAAGTTGCCAAGCCAAATTCAATGTGCAGGTTATGACCTATAAAGCCCTAAATGGTTCGGGTCCCACCTATCTTCGCGATCGCATCTCCCTCTATGAACTGGCGGGAACTTTAAGATCTTCCGGGGTGGCCCTCCTTTTGCTCCCACCACCGTCACAAACATGGTTGGTGGGGACGAGAGAGAGGGCCTTCTCGGTGGTGGCCCCCCTGCCTCTGGAACGCCCTTCCTGGAGAAATAAGACAGGCCCCATCCCTCCCCTCCTTTCATAAGAGCCTGAAGACCTGGTGGTTTAAGCAAACCTTTGAGAACGACTAGTTGTAGCTCTGCCCCAGATACTGTAGAAACTGGCCATATCTTTTCCTACCAATTACCCAGGTCACTTTCTTCTATTAGGCCCATGGAAATGTACAGCCATAGACTCTACCTAATTTCTTGGGACCTCTAAAATCGCACTAGCCTGGCCCAGCCTTTTAAACTGCCTTGAACAGGCAGGATTATTTTAAATATATGTGCTATTGTGGTTTTAATGCTTATTTTGTCTTGTTAATTTTATGTTTATGCTGTTCTTTTTGTATGTATTGATTATGTCACTTGGAAACCGCTCTGAGTCCCCTTGGGGAGATAGAGTGGTATATACATAAAGTTTTGTTGTTGTTGCTCCAGGCAGCCCCGTGGCCAGGATTTCGATTGGGGGGGGGGCTGAGTTTGTTTCGGGGGGGGGCTGAGTCTGAGTGACAGAGGGTCTACTCTAGCAAACCTTTTGTATCGTTACCCCAATACCCCCATGCATATGGGATATATTGAGTAGGGTGATCAGATCATGATATGAATAAGGATAACAGTTTAAATAATGCACCAGTAAGGCCTTTTCACGAACTACCATGAGACTTTGGGAGGGGGGGAGGGGCTGAAGCCCCCCAAGCCCCCCCCCCCAGCTACATGCCTGGCTCCAGGTGTTCTGGACTCCAACTCCCACCATTCCTGACAGCCTCAGGCCTCTTCCTTTTCCCCCTCAGCCGCTTAAGCCTGAGGCTGTCAGGAATGGTGGGAGTTGGAGTCCAGACCACATGGAGGGGCCAAGTTTGTCCTTGTCTGATAGCTATCTACTTATCTATCTTATGCTTAAGCGGCTGAAGGGGAAAAAGAGGGGGCCTGAGGCTGTCAGGAATGGTGGGAGTTGAAGTCCAAAACACCTGGAGGAAGGCCAGAGTTTGCCATGCTTGGTCCGAAGGCTTTCTTTGGAGCGTGCTGAGGAGATGCCTTCCCTCCAGCCAAAGCCCACTCTGTCCCCATCCGAGCCCTCCCGACAGATGGCCATCATCATCGGAGGAGGCCGCCTTCTTTCCTTCTCACCTGCCCTGAAGAGGAGCTCCTTGTCGTTGGGGTCCCCGAATTCCTTGAGCATGGAGTTGAAGAGGATCCCGCAGGAGTTCTGGATGCCGAAGACGGTCCCGTTGCACCACATGGAGGCCAGCATGACCACCCAGCCCCAGCCTCCCTCGGGGGGCTCGAAAGCCTCGGGGTCCTCTTGGGCTGGAGCCGGGGGAGAAAGAATAGGAGGAGGAAGAGGCGGCGGCAAGAGCTCCCCCTTCTTCTCCTCCTTCTCCTCCTCTTCCTCCTTCTCCTCCAGTTTCTTCTCCTCGGGAGCAGCACCCTCCAAGGCAGCTCCTATTCCGTTGGCGGGCGGGTGCCATTCCCCATTCTCCGGCTTGCCTTCTTCCTCGAGAAGAGCCGGTAAAGGCGCAATTGTGGCGGCGGCTGAGGGGGAGGAGGCGTCCCCGGCTCCCAGCTCTTCACTGACGGGAGACATGCCCGTCGAGGAAGCCTCTCCTCCTCCTTCTTCTTCTCCCCTTGCTGCCTTCGAGCTCCACTCTTTACAATTTCATATCTCTATATCTGGACGTATGGAAACCCTGCCCCTGCGGTCTAGGCTCACGCGTGCGCACAGCCCGGCCCCTCAGGCTGACTCATTCGCCCCCGGCTTCTCCAGGTCATTTTTAAAGGATCCCTTTCTGTCTCTCTCCTTCTTCGCGCACGGGGGCGTGGCCTAGGCTCCCCCCGCCTCACGTCCATCCCCCCCAGGCAATTTCTTATCCTGAGGTTCCCATTGGCCAGGAGGCGGTAAGGCCCCGCCCCTTCTTAAGGGAGAAAGGGAGAGAAAGAAGAGAATGGGGGCGGGGCTTAGAAGCCAAGCCTCCGCGTGCCACAGGGAGTTGGATGAAGAAACTCGGACTCAGGGCAGGCAACGGCACTCCTGGTCTCGAGGCAAGCAATCGCGCACGGAGGGAGGGAAGGAGGGAGGGAGGAGCGCGCGCTCGTTCTCTCTCTCTCTCTCTCTCTCTCTCTCTCGCGCGCACGTGGCAGACGGAAGCGGCCGAAGTTTGAAAGGTTAACGACCACCTGAAGAAGGCGATTGGTGGAAGAGAGGAGGCGGGAAAATCTAGCTGTGCTCTCTCGCCCCCCCCCCCCATTCCACTTTTGAAATAAAGGGTGAGCAGGAGTGTCTCCCCTATTGTGACTCAGGCATTTTAGTCTGATTTGTGCAGCAATACACACTACACCTTCTCCGGAGGGTGGCAGCAGGACAGAACTCTGCAAGGTGTGTATGTATCTGTGTAAGTATATATGTATAAATATATTAGTATTTATCTACACACACACATATCTATATAAATAAAAACGTAATGTTTGTTTGTGGGATTAGCAGAACTCAAAAACCAGTGGGTGAATTGACACCAAATTTGGGCACAAGACACCCATCAGTCCAATGAGTTTTTATTTTATTTGTCGTGTCAGATCAACCAGTCAAATTATATTACATTTCTAACAGAACAAAGCAAACAAACAGACAAAATACAACATTGGTGAGCTTGGTAGTTGATTAAATGTCCTTTGACCAGTATCTGGCCACTTGGAGTGCTTCTGGTGTTGCTGCAAGAAGGTCCTCAATTGTGCATGTGGCTGGGCTCAGGTTGCATTGCAGCAGGTGGTCAGTGGTTTGCTCCTCTCCACACTCGCATGTCGAGGATTCCACCCTGTAGCCCCATTTCTGAAGGTTGGCTCTGCATCTTGTGGTGCCAACACAGTCTGTTCAGCGCCTTGCAAGTCGCCCAGTCCTCTGTGTGCCCAGGGGGGAGTCCCTCATTTGGTATCAGCCATTGGTTGAGGTTCTGGGCTTGAGTCTGCCACTTTTGGACTCTCACTTGCTGAGGTGTTCCAGCGAGTGTCTCTGTAGATCACCAGTAAGTGACTATCATTCATAAAAACACTGAAAAACATAGCAGAAGAGACTTAAAAAGCAAAAAAACCCAAAACATTACAACGCATGCACAAAACCACACATACATGCAAACACACACATATACACATAAACACAAATATATACATATATATACACACACAAAACACATATACACAGACTGGGCCACAGCAACACGTAGCAGGGTATGGCTAGTATATATATATATTCATACATATACATTACACACAAACATACAAGAGAATGAATTATTATTACTCCTAAATTGTTTGGAGTGCTAGTTGAGGCCATGTCCCATTATTATTTTTATTATTGAGTTATCTATAGATACAACCCCCCCCCCCCCAATTGCGCAGCAGGTTAAACCACAGAGCTGCTGAACTTGCCGACTGAAAGACAAAGCAAAGACAGAGGGGAGCAGAAGACATTTCCATCTTGTCTTTACTAATAATATAATATAGGATATTGTATATACATATAATATTATAATGTAGGTAAAGGTAAAGGTAGTCCCCTGACATTAAGCCCAGTCATGTCTGACTCTAGGGTGTGGTGCTCATCTCCATCTCTAAGCCGAAGAGCCGGCGTTGTCCGTAGACACCTCCAAGGTCATGTGGCTGGCATGACTGCATGGAGCGCCGTTACCTTCCCGCCGGAGCAGTACCTATTGATCTACTCACATTTGCATGTTTTCGAACTGCTAGGTTGGCAGAAGCTAGGGCTGACAGCGGAAGCTCACGCCGCTCCCCAGAATCGAACCTGCGACCTTTCGATCAACAAGCTCAGCAGCTCAGTGCTTTAACCCATTATATTGTAATACAATATAATACTAGTAATAATAATTCAATATTATAATTATAATTATATATTTACATTACATGTAATATTACTAATAATATTACAATATAACGGTATAGTGCAATATAGTAATATATACTGATATTGTACTATGCTAATAATATAATATATTGTATGAAAATATATATTGTAAGCTGCTCTGAGTCCCCTTCGGGGTGAAAAGGGCAGCATATAAATGCCTTAAAGAAATAAATAAATAAAGTTCAAATCCATGGAGCAGGGTGAGCTCCCACTGTTAGCTCCAGCTCCTGCCAACCTAGCAGTTCAAAAACATGCAAGCGTGAGTAGATCAATAGGTACCACTATGGTGGAAAGGTAACACCACTCTATGCAGTCATGCCAGCCACATGACCTTGGAGGTGTCTACAGACAATGCCAGTGCTTCGGCTTAGAAATGGAGATGAGCACCACCCCCCAGAGTTGGACACAACTAGACCTAATGTCAGGGGAAACCTTTACTAAAAGTGTTTCTCTCCCCCCCCCCCCCCAATTTTAGTTTTATTTTTGCAGCAATACACACTATACTTTCCCTAGAAGGTGGGGGCAGGATAAAACTGCAGGGGGGTTATGTGTGTGTGTGCACGTTCATATATATATATATATATATATATATATATATATATATATATATATATACACACACACACACATACACACACACATATATATATACATACATATATATACATACACACACATACATAGATACACACACACACACATATATATATACACACACACAAACATACAGTACACATATAAATTACACAATTACACAATCATACCAAAACTGTGCAGGGTGTTTATATGTGTATGTATGTGTGTGTATATATATATATATATATAGAGAGAGAGAGAGTACACATATAAATTACACAAACATACCAGAGAATAAATTATTATTATTAGCTTATCTATGAATATAAAAGTATCTATGTTAGTTGGTTAGTTTATACCACAAGGGCTCCTATATGACTTTTTGGATCTGGACCAGACTTGTTACACATACCCTTCATTATCCAATTTGGAATAATTGAGGGGTTTGAACTATACCCAAAAAACACCACCTCTTCTGAGCCCAGAGATGAGGGAAAGAAAATGAAGGAAGCAGATTTTTAGGTAAAATAGCCCTGTGACTTGGCTAGGAAAGACAAGGAGTGAGTGAAGCATGTTGCCTGCTGCTAAGTGACTCATATGCGAGGAAGGAAAGGGGGGGGGGGGAGAAAGGAAAAGGAGGGAAGGAAGAGAATGGAAAGGTGAAAAGGTATGAGCAGAGGGATGGAAAGGAAGAGAAAAGAAAGAAAGTATGTGTAAGAGAAAAAGCGAGGGAAGAAGAAAAGAAAGGGAGAAGGTGTATGGTGAAAATGGAGGAAGGAAATAGCCACACAGAGAGCTTGCCCATCGTCCCATGGAGACTTTGTGAGATAGGCCTTCTCTGAGTTGGAGAAGGGAGGAAGCAAGAAGTTAGCAGCCCCTCTGACACCTGAGCAGTATTAGTACATAATATGTATTACTAAGTAACCACTGGGCAGATGTTCATAAATGCTTTTGAAATGCAGGTGGAGCATCCCTTGTCCAGAAATCTGGAATGCTTCAAAATTGTCCACAGGGGTGGCTGAGGCAGGGATACTTATGCCTTCTCATGGTTCAGTGTACACAAATTTTGTTTCATATATAAAATTATTGAAAACTATAAAATTACCTTCAGGCTACATGCATAAGGTGTATATCAAACATAAAGGAATTTGTTTAGATTTGGGTGCCATACCCAAGATTATGGACATATATGCAAAAACAGGTATTCAAAAACCAAAGAGATTTCTGGTCCCAAGCATTTTGGATAAGGGAGCCTCAGTATTTATATGTCCATGTCTGACATATGTCCATGTCTGACTGTGTGGTGTCATCCATCTCCCCAAAGTCAGTGACATCCATTCCTGTCAGGGCTGTGGAGAAGGGGGCAAATAAGAGGATGTCAACCCTTTTGGAAGCTAAGTAGGGTCAGCCCTAGTTAGTACTTGGGTGGGAAAATGTTAATGAATGCCAAGTGCTGTTGGCTGTATTTCAGAAGAAGGAGCTGGCAAACCCACCTTTGACAACTTGAAGGCACACACCAAGTGTAGGATAAGAGGGCAGAGCTTTTGCCAGAGTTTCCTCATTGCACATAAAGGGCAGCAGCTGTTAATGATCCCACAAAGGGAGAGCCAAGGTTACTCACAAATCTTTAGAATGGGGAATTTCTCATGACCTGAGCTCAAAATACACAAAGTTGATGAAAAACAGAATAAAAAGAGAGTAGGGGTGCAGAATGCAGAATGAATGGAGTTTGACTCCACTTTAACTGCCATGGCTCGATGCTATAGAATTCTGGGAGTTGTAGTTTGACAAGGACTTTACTCCTGTCTGACAAAGTTGGCTGGTGCTACACTAATCTACAAACCTGAGAGACATGAGCCATGGTAGTTAAAGTGGTGTCAAAGTGCATTCATTCTACAGGGCAGAGCCAGCCTTGGATACATTCTCTCCCTAAAGCAACTTTGTATTGACAATATCCAGCGGTAAAGCCTATGTTTGTTGCAGGAATAGTGCAAGAGACCAGGTGGCCCTTTTAAAGTACAGCAATTTCCTCCAGTATAAATGTGCCTGGATTGAAGCCCACAAAAAGGTTATCATTCTCACCTCCTCCGTTTCCAGTGTTTGCAGAGGCAAGTGGCCTTGCTTATGTAACAAAAAAAGAGCACTGATGGTGCACAAAAACATCAGGGAAATATGTGGCTTGCAGAAACACACAAACTTAGGGTAAAAATAGTATTAGGCACAAAACCACCTACAAATGACTGAACATGCTCAATGGGTACAATACTAGCTACATTTTTAAAGGAGGCTCAAGAATGATAGAATGGCTGGAAATCTGAATGGTAAAAC